AGTCCAAGAACATCTGGAGGCCTGAGGTTGGGGACCACTGTCTTAATCTGATCTGCCACTCACTAACCTCAACTTGCTTTCCCCAACGCCTGGGCTAATCTCCCAGTCATGAGCATGAATGGGAGATCAGCCAAGAGAAGAAACAATCGGGAAGCCTAAACTCTTGCTGGGACTGGAAGATCAGTTGAAGAGGTGCAGAAAGCTGAGCACGCTGGGCCTGGCGAGTGGCTGATCGAGCCAGAGGAGGTGGGGTAGAGGAGCATCCGCATCTGTGCTATTACCTTTACAGACTGGCACGAACTGGTTTATGCCCATCTTGAACCACAATGTATTGTGCCCTGATATGCAACAAAGCCAGAAAGAAAACGAAGCGGGATTAAAGAAGCAGAAGGAACTAAAAAAGGAAACATTTTCACATCCCTAAATCCGCAAAGGTGGAAGGAAGCAGGAAAAAAAAAAGGAAGACCAAATACAAGATGGATGGATGCCTTAAAGCAGAGAGGTTCCCAAGCTTGGCTCTCCAGATGTTGTCGGACTAAAACACCCAGAAGCCTTCACCACTAGCTATGTTGGCCAAGATGAGTTGTAGTCCAAGAACATCTGTGGACTTAAGGTTGGGAAGCAGCGTCGTAAAGGAAGCTACAGGCTTGAGTTTACATGACTAGCGCTGTTGAGGACAAGACATTTCGGAGATCACTCATTCATGAGGCCATCCTACGTTGGAGGCAACTTGAGAACACATAACAAGAAGTAATAACAAGTCATAATGACGACAACCATAACCATAATAAGCCACTCTATACAAGAAGCGTCAAATACCCACTGCACACCTCACACAGCAATGAAGCAAATCATTGGGCATTTCTCTCCCAGGCTCCTTGCCCCATAGCTATACCTAATGCTTAGAGTCACCGCTGGATAGTGGGGGAAAAATCGATTCCTTTGACATGCGGTGCTGGAGGAGAGATTTTCAGATACAGTGGACCCTCGACTTACAGACTTTTCAAGTTACAGACTTCTCTGGCCGCAAAATTTAGGTTCGACTTGCAGCTGGAGAATTGACCTACAGACCAGAAAAAAAACCAAAATGGAACAAAAACGGAAGGTTACGTATTAACCGTTTTTCAATGCATTGTAGGTCAATGGAGACGCGACCTACAGACTTTTCGACCTACAGCCACCATTCCAATATGGATTAATTCCGTAAGTAGAGGGCCCACTGTACCCTGGACTGCCAGAAAGAGGAAGACGTGGGTCTTAGAGCAAATCAAGCTTGAACCGGAAGCAAAACAATGACCAAGCTGAGTCTGTCGTATTTTGGACACGTCACGAGAAGACAGAATTCTCTGGAAAGGACAACAAGGATGGGGAAGGTAAAAGGCAGAAGGAAGAGGAAGACCCAATACGAGATGGACTGGTTCTGTAACGGAAGCCACAGGCTTGAGTCTGGAAGACCTGAGCAGGGCCGTTGAGGACAGGACATTTTGGAGAGGGCTCCTTCATGGGGTCATCGTAAGTCGGAGGGGACTTGACGGCACATGACAACAGCAGGACAGCAGCTCCTGTTCTTTGTGCGGGACGCCTCTGGTTCCTCCGTGTGAGGAAAGACAGATGAAAGGACTGCCTGGCTGCAGGAGGAATGGCACATGGACCAACTGCCTGGCTGGTGCCCCTGCCAACCCGATCTTGTAGCCCACACTGTTCCCCTTGGTCAGACATTTAGTTATCACACGTGACATCAATTCATTCCTGGCTTGTGGCGACTGTTCGCGTTTTCACGATATGTGGGATGTCCAAGGTGTGATTTATCCTTGCCACCCCCAGTACGTTTCCATGGCTGAGTGGGGATTTGAACCCCAGTCTCCTGAGCCCTGGTCTAACATCATATCCACTACACCTCAATGGCTCTTACACATCATGAAAGAGATGGGGGAGAGAGAGATAGAGATGTAATGATGTAAGTCGCCTTGGGTCCTTTCTACGGAGAAGATTTAATGATGTAAGTCACCTTGGATCCTTTCTACGGAGAAAAGTGGGGTGCAGATACTTTAAATAAATAAAATAATAAATTACGATTGCCAATATATTGCAAAACAGAAAACAGAATTTAAACAAAATTCCAATGCATCTTTCCTAAGTAAGGATAGAATCATAGCATCAGGTGGGGACCATAAGCTCATCGAGTCCAACCCCGTGCTCAAGGCAGGAATCCAAATCAAAGCAGATCTGACTTAGGGTTGTCCAATTTTCTCTTGCATGCCTCCAGCCTTGGAGCGCTCACCACCGCCTAAGGTCATGGGTCCCATGGTTGTACCACCCTAACAGTTAAGAAGTTGCCTATCGCTAAGTCACCTACTAGGTCTGCTATCCAGCTGCTAATGGAAGATGGGGGAAGCTTCCAGGGTCTCTTGTGTCTCTTCCTTGGGGTTCTAGGTCTTATGGTCAGCCACGGACTGGGCAGCCCTTCAAAGGGAGAAGCGTCAAAGGGGGACACAAGGGGGATACCCTACGCACCCATGTGACTAGTCTGGCCCCTCCATTTCAGCCAGTCTGAAACACCCACTCAACGGGCAGCAATGGAAGCACATCAATCCTGACTCTGCTGGTCAAGTATATTTGGTAAGAAAGTAAGAGAACAGTGAATGTCATCTGCATGCCAGGGTGGGAGAGGAATGGCAGTGACAGTGAATCTCTCCTGAGCCGTTTATTCTGCTCTACACACAGATCTGGGACACGAATCCTGCAAGGCAAAAACGTTCACGAGCGCTTAGCACTCCCTGTCAAGATCGAAAAGGTTTTTAATGACTGATGCTGTGCCTTCCCACCGATGCCTCATAAAAAAAAACCCAGTGCTCTAATTCATTAATTGCTCAACTGTTGTGTTTGAAGGCGGGCAGGCATGCCGAACCAGACCAGGTGAGTGGCAGAAATGCTAATGCAGAGCAGTCAATATCTAGGAAGCGAGAAAATCCGGAGGGGGAAAAAAAATCAAGTGTTCAAGGCAGACTCTTAAAGCCGCACAAGGTCTAAAATGAATTGTGTGTGCACAGCCAAGGAGGCGAAACAGAGACACATTTGTTTCTTTACAAAAGAAGATGGACGAAATGTTAATAACAATTAAGCAAAAAGAACAAAAATTAAATTTTCCTATAAAAGGGACATTGGGGGTTGGGTGGTTACAAAATTACTTGTCAGATTATACAGACAGAGATGTGACATATTTTTCAAACCAGCACCAAACTGAACCTTATGAAATGATAAGAACATCTGGAAGTGCTTAGCTGAGTTTCCTGGACAAAAGCAATAGTTACAAAGAAAAAGATGAAATGCATTCCTTCGTTCACAGGACCGAAGAAGCGACAGAGGACGGAATGGAGTTAAAACTGTCCCTACAACCGGTGCTTGAAAGATGAGAATATTTTGTTTATGAAAGGTGGTTGACTTGCCAGATGTTCTTCCTGAAACAGACACCTAGCTAATGTGCAGATTTTCCTTGAACAAAGCAGCAAGAACTATCCTAATGGCAATGATTGCCCTTATCATTCCGGAGACTCTCTTGGAAATTCAGCAGATCGAGGGATGGCTTCTCTCCCCGGCTTTAATGAGCTCAAAGTGATCTCGATTTCTGGGCACTTCCAACCTGGAACTAGTGTGACAGCTTTCTTTTCTTAGGTTCCCCTTTTCCTGCTCCGAGAGACCTACACAGTTTCAGCACATGCCTCACAAAGGGGAAAAAAGGCTTTATAGGAAGCGGAAGAGAGACAGAGAGAGATGGAGAGAGGGGGGAGACTTCCCCTTACGGAGTTGTTGCATGTGACAACCACAGTGAGGAAGGATCGGTTTCACTCTTACCATTATTCACTTCTTACCAGACAACATGCTGGATTTCTTTATTTTAAAGATGTTGTTGTTTAGTCGTGTCTGACTCTTCGTGACCCCATGGACCAGAGCACGCCAGGCCCTCCTGTCTTCCACTACCTCCCGGAGTTGGGTCAAATTCATGTTGGTATTTTTAAAAATACGTATTACTTAGACAAACCTCAACAGCATCTTATAAAGCAAAGACGTCACCTTGCCGACAAAGGTCCGCACAGTCAAAGCTATGGTTTTCCCAGTAGCGATTTATGGAAATGAGAGCTGGACCCTAAAGAAAGCTGACCGCCGAAGAATTGATGCTTTTGAATTGTGGTGCTGGAGGAGGCTCTTGAGAGTCCCCTAGACTGCAAAGAGAACAAACCTATCGGTTCTGAAGGAAATCAACCCTGAGTGCTCACTGGAAGGGCAGATCCTGAAGTGGAGGCTCCAATCCTTTGGCCATCTGATGAGAAGAGAAGACTCCCTGGAAAAGACCCTGATGTTGGGAAAGTGTGAGGGCAAGAGCAGAAGGGGAGCGACAGAGGACGAGATGGATAAACAGTGTCATTGAAGTGACCAACATGACTTTGACCCAACTCTGGAAGGCAGTGGAAGATAGGAAGGCCTGGCGTGCTCTGGTTCATGGGGTCACGAAGAGCGGACACCACTAAACGTCTAAACAACAACAATTACTTTTCTACCAACTGAAGCTGCCCAATGGGCCAATATACAGATGCAAACATTTTAAAACAGAGCAAATAAATTCCACGGCTTTAACGTTTGTGAACTTCAACATGAAGGACTAACGCTAGAGGTCTAAGACAAAGAAAAACAAAGCAGAATATCATTTACCCAAGGCTGCTCTTAATTTCACAGAATATTTGACAGGGGTCAAATAAAAACTGGCCAAATGGTGATTAATAACTTGCCAGATAAGCAGCTGCCCAACTTCAGACTTTAATGATGCCACAGAAAATGGGTAAAGTCTCCTGTATGACAGCACACCGTTGCTAGAAGATGTGTTGCATCTTCTCAGTGACAAGTCACTGCGGTTTCCGTAACTGGAAAATACCTTGCTACAAACGCTCCATATTGGAGGAAGACTTTTAGATTCCCATGGAACAAAAGGCCACAACTCTGGCCACACTGCATGCATGGCAACTCTTATGATCCAGAAAGACACTCGAAAACACCCGTCTTGAGAGTCAAACAGGGTCACAAACACTCATCTTTTGTCTGTCTCCAGCTCTTAACATTTAGAACTGCTCTGATTTCAAGAAATCGAAACTGTCCAAGATTTTTAATTATCCTTATTAATGCTTGCATGTTGTCAAGTGAAACTGACTTAATGGCGATCCTCTCCAGGGATTCCTAGGTAGAGAATATTCAGAAGTGGTCTTCTACACCATGCCTCAATTATCAACCAAAATGCTGATGGCAAACTGAGAAATCAAAAGGAGATCAAGACTTGATCATAAAGGAACCAGAAGAGATCCTTGGGTGTAAGGATATGTTGCTGGAGACCAAGTTAGGATTGTTCAGACAATGCTATTCCTGATTACAATGGGTGGAGATGAAATGCAATGTTTCAGGAGAGCTTCGTGGATATGTTACAATGGGTGGATATGAAACTTTGGAAGACAGATGACTTGAGGGTGGAGTCAACTCATTTGAAGTGCAATGTTTCAGGAGAGCTTCGTGGATATCACGGGCCACGAAAAATCATCACAAACCAACCATTTGGCAATTTCTGCCCATCACAATAGGAAAAGAGGAAAACCTAAGGTATGATGGGTGGACTTAATAAAAGAAGCCTTAGTTCAGATTGGAAGATCTGAAGAGGGCTGTTAAGGACAGGACTTTTTGGAGTTTATTAACTCCCTGAGATGTCGAACATCAGAACCAATTTCACAGCACATCACATGCACCCACACAAAGTGGTCCTGGCCACGGAAATTGTACGTGAGCATCACTTCTAATCCTCCTTCAAATGCTAGAGATATGAAACCCACGAGCTTGGGATCTAAGTCACAATTATTCCCATGTTGCAAAGATCTGCCTGGAGCCCATTTCATCAATCACTGATTAATTAATATTCTTTTATCGAGGGTGCCGTATGAGGCAGCCGGAGAGCATGATCTGCTGCGTGATGCTCTCTCTTTGTAAATGGACAAGATAGTTTCAGAGTCCTGGATGCTGGGAAGCATTCCGAAAAATTAACAAATGAAGAGGCTCTTTGTTCTTCATACCCTTTGCTAATGCTATTTAGTTTACATCCTGTCCATTTAGGAGAGGATGGTGGTTGCACTGAAATTTCAAATGTCATAAAATAAAATAAAATAAAACAAAATCAACCAATCAATCAGAAATGATGACACTTGGCTAGCATACATGACAGAAACTAGTCTGTCCAGAGGTAAGGGGCTCTATTTAGGTTGTCCAGTTTCAAATGGAAATGGATATGAGTCAAACGTCAGGATCTGCTGGATTCTTTATCTGCCTGATGTCTGGTTCGGGAGACTCTAGCAGCCGGTGTGGTGGAATGGACACAGTGATCGAATAGAACCTGGAGGATTTGGACTCAAATCCATGGGGATTCCCTGGAGGTAAAACCAATCCTTAAACATCTTGCGCATGCTGAAAAACCTATCAGGGGCAGGGTAGATAAAAATCTATTTAAAAAAATCAAATTGATTTAAATCACCATCAATCATGATTTAATTTTTTTTAAAAAAATAGACATTTTCATCAAAAAATCCATTTTTTAAAAAAAGGGAAAATCCAATCATTAAATCAAACTCACCCTGATCATATGACAACAGAGAGCTGCACCTCCAGAGAAATAATTTTCTCTCTCTTTCTCTCTTAAACACATATACAAACACACAAAACTTGGAAAAGGTGTTTCAGCAACATTGCCTTATGGAAAAAAAAACCCTTGCTTTTCTTGGCAAGGTCTTAGCTTTTTGTCACTGGCGCTCAGGACAGACTCAAATCTGACCACGGTGCGGGGGACCCCAATATTTGGGATTAAGGAGAACTGCCTCCCCCCCTCCAGCTTTCAAGCTGCTTCTGCTTGTTTCCATTTTCTATGAAAACCCAACTCCACGCTTCTACCAGTTTCCCCCCCATGTGCAATTCCTGGGTGGCCAGAGTTTTGAAAGTGGGGGGGGAGAGGCAGTATTGAGTGAAAAAAGAAAAAATAGAAGGCCCAATTCCACAAATTCAAGAGTACCGTATTTTTCGCTCCATAAGACACACCTTTCCATAAGACGCACCAATTTTTTAGGAGAAGAAAACAGGAAAATATAATCTGTTTTCTTCGCTCCATAAGACACACAGACTTTCCACCCCCCCCCGTTTTGTGGGAAAAAAAGTGCGTCTTATGGTGCGAAAAAATATGGTAAGTGATCCTTTTCACCGGACCATTGAAAATAAAGCAAACAGCAAGAAAAGATATTTCAGAAAAGAAACATTACTGCACGTAAGCCAGAGAACTCCTTAAATCCATACATTAAATTCCAGTCTGTTCTCACATTCGGTGCTAGGTTACAGTGCTTGTCTTCAAACTGCGTGAAACTCTTGATCCTCTACCCCCACATTTCAGT